TTTTTTTTTTTCATATTTGAAGATTTTATTTGATAATACTGGTTATCACACATATAGTAATCATTGAGTCAGTTTGAACAAATTAAGATAAATCTTTGAGAAGATTTTCAGTTTGTATTAATTTGAAATCTTAATACTATTTGAATAATAGGTTAATAGTTCATGATCTGAACCAAGGCTGACCTCAGGAATATTCGGCACGTGTAGATTGAGGGGTCTAGATGTACCTGACCGAAACTAAAATGCTGATTTTTGCTAGTTACTGTTATTTCTTTCTAAAACAATGTCAAGCCACATGTAGTTTTTAAGATACGTTAAGTAATTCAGTGGACGCATGAAGGAAGGGCATAATATTCTTGATATATTGTTTTTTATTCTCCAAAACTGCAGTTTTAGCTCTGCTTATAGAACGGTCCAAGTGCGTTCGTTTATCGTCGAATATTTCTTCGCTACACGTACCGTTTCAACCGGGATACATGAATGTAACCCTGCTGACTATCTGCGCTGTCATATACATGTTTATGGATTTAAGATCCAGGAAATCTTTCAAACATTGAAGAGCTTATAGGAATTTTTATTTTTCCTGATTTCCAGGTCACACTTTTAACCGATGACATGGATACCGCTGGAGATGTGATACAGAATCTGGCTAACTTCCTAAACATGGAAGATCTACAGGTGACTGCTGACTTCCCCGCTGAGATGGAAAACCTGAAGGAAGTCCTACTCAAGGTTTGGTCAATGAAACTTACTGTAAATCTTAGTATGGTCAACTTACTGTGAAGCTAAAGATATGCTCAGCTTCCTGTAAATCTAAAGTATGGTCAACTTACTGTGAAGCTAAAGATATGCTCAGTTTCCTGTAAATCTAAAGTATGTTAAACTTACTGTGAAGCTAAAGATATGCTCAGCTTCCTGTAAATCTAAAGTAGGGTCAACTTACTGTGAAGATGAAGATATACTCAGCTTCCTGTAAATCTAAGGTATGGTCAACTTACTGTGGAGCTGAAGATGTGTTCATCTTCCTGTAAATCTAAGGTATGGTCAACTTACTGTGAAGTTAAAGATATGCTCAGCTTCCTGTAAATCTAAAGTATGGTCAACTTACTGTGAAGCTAAATATATGTTCATCTTCCTGTAAATCTTAAGTATGGTCAACTTACTGTGACGCTAAAGATATGCTCAGCTTCCTGTAAATCTAAAGTATGGTTATTTTACTGTAAAGCTGAATATATGCCAAACTTCCTGTAAATCTACATGTATATGGTCAGCTTCGTGTAAACTGAAAGGAAAACCTAAAAGAGGTCCTCCTGAAGGTATGGTCACCTCAAAATGTATTTGGAATTATGCTCAGCTTCCTGTTAATCTAAAGATATTGTCAACTTACTGTGAACTTCATGGTATGTAACAGGTCAATGTGTTTTAAACATGCTGATTGTAACCCGTTATAATCAGATACTATACATGTACATGTACATACTGTTAATAAAGAAAAAAGCTGTGTCAGTTACAAATATGTTGTACTAAACGATCTTCTTTGTAAAATCATCACTTGGACATTTAAATATGATCATTTTCGATTTTTGACATCTGAAATGGTCAGAAAAACATGCTTTCTCTTAATGGCATGCTCCGGTTAATATCATACTTTTCTCTGACAAATGAGAAGTGATTTTAAGCGAAATCTACTGTATTTGTATAATTATTAAGTAGCATGTTTGCAGATATACTTGTATAATAAGTACTAATACTATTGATGTATGTTATAAAATTGGTTCATTATTTTGTCTAGGTGGACGAGTATAATATAGTGAGACAGAAACTGACTGCAGAAATGGCTGACCACTCCAACCTCATCAGGAGTATGGTGGTCCGGGCAGAAGATGCAAGACTTATGGGTGACATGTAAGTTTGACCACTTCTAGACCAGTATGATGCATGGTCAGTACAGAAGAGGCCTGCCAGACCTGCTTCATTTGTGTGGTCGTAAAGTTTGTCCATCTGCAAAAGATAACTTTATTGAGAAAATGAATATGCAAATTTTACTGTAGGCAGGACAATCCTTGGTCCCAGCCTCAAGAGAAAATGATCATGAGTCGAGGTCTGTCACTATTTCTTGAGAATGGATTAATAGAATCCATCCCTGATGTGAGGTATGGATAAGGTAATTCAAACCCAAGGGATACATTATTGACTCAAAGCTTTGCCGTGGGTCTTCTGCTCAATATTTTATCCAGAGAGTTTGAATAACCTTATCCATACCTCAACATCAGGGATGGATTCTATTTCTTGCTTGTCACCTAAAACCCATAAAAAACAGCTGCTCTTCTAGTAAAGTTGTAAACTGTCTGCACATTTCTCATTTGCATTTGAAGCCTGTATGGCAATTGTTAATGACGTCAATGACCCTGACTGACCCCAAAAGGTCATTAAATGACGTCACGAACAATAGCGTGACCCCGAAAGGTCAGTATAATTCCCCCGCCTGTCTGCGCGTATAAGCGATCCAGACCCATGGGTTGGATAGAAATCTCCAGCACCGCCGGAAATGCGGATTACTTGGCCTAGTATGCAAGAAATGAGGGTCCCTGCCCCACTGCTGGTAAAACACGAGTGAATTCCACTGTAGAGTTCAGCTGTTCCTTGTCCAGCCATCTGGTGTCAACTTCTTCGGTCACTTAGCCCTAACAATCATGTGAGCTATATATAGCAGTCTGTTGCCATATGTCATCGTCGTTTGTTGTCTGTCGTCGGTCTTAATACTTTTCTTTGAACCTCTGAATGTGTAGTTTATTTAATGTTCAAACAGTTATTGTACAGTGAGCTTGACTATATAGAAGACAATGTAAGGCGTAACATTCAGCTTCATGAGGTCCAGATACAGTTCACTTATTGTATGTTTAACTCATTAGGGCCCCGGATCAGAGATGCAAGTTCCCTATAGTAATCACAGTGACCGTTCGTCCGTCTGTCCGTCGACACTTTTGTTTCTGGAGATTATCTTGGAAACAGAGAGACAAATCTTTCTGAAAGGACTAGGGGCATTCCTTAAGGGTCACAAAGAGAAACATAAACCCACATTTTCACAATAAAACGTGTGAACATCGCCTGTTGTGCATCTTTTTTTGGTTTAGAATTGGCCATTTTGAAGGAAATTAACTAAACTCTCCTCAATTTTTAAAAGCCTCTGCATGCAACAAACAAATAAATATTTAACATGCTTAAACATTGTAATACCAATGTTCATTCGTAGAAAGGATTTTTAGGTCACCTGAGACAAAGTCTCAAGTGACCTAATGCGATCGCCTTTTGTCCGGCGTCGTCCGTCGTTTATCGTCCGTCGTCCGTCGTGCGTCCGTAAACAATTTACATTTTCGACTTCTTCTCCAAAACCGCTGAACCAATTTCAATGAAATTTTGCAGAAACCTTCCATGGCCAAAGGTCAACTAAAATTGTGAATTATATGGTCCCCAGACCCCAGGGGCCTGAGGGGCGGGGCCAAAAAGGGTAAAATTGACTAAAATTTCAAAAATCTTCTTCTCAAGATCCAGATATGGTAGAATCAAATACTCTTCATAGATAGAAGGGTCTTAAGGTGCTTAACTAACTTTGTGAATTTCTTGACCCTGGGATCTCACGTTTCCCCCTGGAGAGGGGGTAAACTTTACTATAGTTTATATAGGGAAATCACATTTTGGACCAACATTTGTTTAATTGCCATTGGAAGTAATTCAGGTTAGGTTAGCATTATCAGTATTGGGTAGCAGTTTGATAGTATGCACATATCAGCCCTGACTGACCCCCCGGGGCTGATGGGTGGGGCCAAAAAGGGTTGAATTGACTGAAATTTCAAAAATTTTCTTCTCTGAATTGCAAGACCCAGATATGGTAGAATCAAATACTCTCCATAGATGGAAGGGTCTTAAGGAGCTTTACCAAAATTGTGAATTTCATGACCCTGGGGTCTCGCGTTTCCCCCTGGGGAAGGGGGGGGGGGAATTTGTTATGGTTTATAATGGCAAATGATACTTTGAATATTACATGTTGATAACTTGATTAGAATTATAACCCTAAGGTGACAGTTTGATACCTTGTAAATTTTGAGCCATCCCTACCCCCAATGGCTGTAGGGTGGGGCCCTATGGAGTCTGTGTGCTAAAATAAAATTTCTTCATTTTCCTTGTTTAGAATCAGAGGTGCTAGTTTCAAATACTTTTCAGTCTTAAATCTCGATGCTAGATATTGAATAAGGGGATTTTTTTGTTTTTTGTCACTTTGAATAATATTTCTGTTCGTGTTAAAAACAAAATCAACTCTCTGTATAAATATATCAGGTGACCGTTAAGGCCCATTGGCCTCTTGTTTTGTTTGTCACATGCGGAGGCTTTCATTCCTGCACCCTAACTATCCAAAAACACCATATTTTGGCTATTTCTGCATAGCAACGCAATTTTGTTGCTATGGTAAGGCATCTGCGAATGTATATTGAAAACAATCTGCACCGAGAAAGAAATTCTCTTTCCCCATTATGATGTTGATAACTTACAGAAATATGTAAATTACTTAAAATTGAAATTTTCATTTCTTACGAGGCCGAAAATGCCCCATAATGCCCCAAGTCCTTTTACATGGTGCTACACTGTGAAACTTAAGTGATATACTGTGACTGTGATAAGAAGATGTGCAATAGGACTTAATTAAAACAGTTTTATAAGTCAAGGTCAAGGTTACTGTTACTAAAAATAGATGAGGGGGGAGGGTATCGGGCAGGCATGGGGGGGGGGGCTGTTGATCAGTCAGTGTTCTAATTTGCTTGCTATTGTCACACAATATGCATAATAATTCTTAATGATTATACAGAGTTTGTCAGAGGTATATTGTCATTGCTTTTGTATCAATACGTATATGGGACAAGCAATTTTATGTGATAGGCTTTCAAGTTTTCGTCTGAATGACTACTATGTATTCCAAAATAGCTGAACATAACCTTCACTTTATCAACGACAATTTATCCAAAACTACAGTCTGACAGCTAGCTGCAGAACATTTAATGTCCTTCCTTGTCAAAAGCTTATCTTGGTTATAGGTAAGCTCTACTCATATGATATAGGTCCTAAAATTTGTTCTTGAACTTATCATGATTATATCTTTAATTTTGTTATAAATTTGTATTCATTAAAACTCGGATATGTCACCGGGACCAATACAAATATTCAACTTATCCAGTGGTTCAACTCTACTAAGTCGTATTGTGTAGGAGCACTCAAATCACTGGAGATGTACTCTGTTACTCGTTAAAATGAATGCTCTCAGTAAATCAAAGGGTAATCGTGATATTTTTCCTACAGTAAAATAAAAAATAAGATTTAATAGCAGTTTAATGAATTTTAATAACAAATACTTGTTTCAAACATTGACAAATTTCATACGTGTAGATACATTATTGTTCTTGTTGAAAATGCAACTGTAACCTAATTGCTCGTAGCACATTAAACACACTTGTGCAAGATAAGAAATAAGAAAACAGTTACTGTACTCAAATTTATCACTAAAAACATTTTGTTACTGTACTCCGATTAATTATAAAATACATTAACAGTCATTATCGCTATTAAACAGCGACCGCCCAAATACATCAAAACTGGAACAAATTATGGAGATTTTCACACAGCTAAAAACAGCTAAAAATAACTCTACCTGGGTTATTGGCCAAGTACAATTCACAAATGTACAGTTCGACACAAAATAACCACCTTTTATTGTAAACTATCTTTCCCACACATATTCGTATTTATATAATAACAATTCAGATTTCTGATGTTTATCAAAAACAAAAGTCTATTAAAGGTTAATGTGACATATCTTTAGGTGTAACAATGCGATACTTATATTTATCGCTTATTTTGTTCTTCTTCTACTTCCCTGATACACATAACAGATGTGTGAATCGAAAACTAACAATGGTGACTTTATAGATCATTAAGGGGCCATACCCATCGTTTATACAAAATTAAGAGTCCTTCGTCCAAGGATGCTCCAGGCCAAATTTGGATGAAATCCCTCAAATGGTACAGAAGGAGAAGGCTTTTAAAGATTTCAACCTCAAATTTCCTCTTTGAGCCCCGCCCTCTGCACCAAAAGGGGCCAAACCCACCATTTATACAAGATCCAAGGTCCCTATGGTAGAAGAAGGATTTCAAAGGTTTTACCTCTATTTCCCCTATTGGGCCCCATCCCTCTGCCCTAAAGGTGTCCAAACCCACCATTTATACAAAATTGAGTCCCCTAGACCAAAGGATGCTCCAGACCAAATTGGGATAAAATCCCTAAATCCCTATGGTAGAAGAAGGATTTCAAAGGTTTTCCCTCTATTTCCCCTATTGGGCCCCATCCCTCTGCCCTAAAGGTGTCCAAACCCACCATTTATACAAAATTGAGTTCCCTAGACCAAAGGATGCTCCAGACCAAATTGGGATAAAATCCCTAAATCCCTATGGTAGAAGAAGGATTTCAAAGGTTTTACCTCTATTTCCCCTATTGGGCCCGCCCATCCTTCTGCCCAAGGGGGTCCAAACCTACCATTTATACAAAATTAAGTGCCCTTGGCCAAAGGATGCTCCAGACCAAATTGGCATAAAATCTCTTAGACTCTATGGTAGAAGAAGGATTTCAAAGGTTTTACCTCAATTTCCCCTCTTGGGCCCCATCCCTCTGTCCTAAAGGGGGTCCAAACCTGCCATTTATACAAATTGAGTCCCCTAGGCCCAAGGTTGCTCCAGACCAAATTGGGATAAAATCCCTTAATCCCTGTGGTAGAAGAAGGATTTCAAAGCTTTTACCTCTATTTTCCCTATTGGGCCGCATTTCTCTGCCCCCAGGTCCGTTAACATTTTACATTTCAAACTTAAAGTCAAGTTCTGCTGGGCCGATTGAACTGAAAGTTGGTAGGAATGATCGCCTCATGGTCCTGACAAAGTGTTGTTATTTTTCGGGTCGATCAGAAATCAGAAATCAGAAAGCTCAATTTGGCTGCCATGGCCGCTATTTTGTAAATACCTATTTCAAACTTAAAAACAAGTTCTAATAGGCCGATCTCACTGAAAATCGGTCTAGGAATGATCAGCTCATGGTCCTGACAAAGTTAAGTTAACATTATACTTAACTATTTTTTACTCAAATTGGTACATATTTCAACAACAAAAATAAATACTGTAGGACCGTTAAGGCCCATGGGCCTCTTGTTGTAATAATATATTTGTCTATCCATCAGGATTAAATCTGCACATTTTGGTACAAAAAGTTGCAGGTATATAAAATGTAGAGATAATTATATGTAATAATATGATCACAAATAAATTTGCTTAGTAATTCAGATTATATATTTCTTTTAGACATTGTCTAAAGTTTCACTGCCAATTATGTACTAAGATACAATTAGATATTTTACAAAGTATGGAATGGGTGAGGAAAGGGGGGTAACTCCAATATTAAAGTATTTATTAGATACAGTCTGCAATAAAGGTAATATATATATTGGTTATAAACCGCACATAGAATACAAGTGATAATAATACAATATCAGATTGAAGACCGAACAGTCCTTGTGTTACATTAAGGTCTTTAACTGAACACTGTACAGGATCCAAAGCAAATGTTATTGCGGTATGAATTCACAGTAATGTATTTGAATATACATGTATATGGTAAAATTGCAGATCTTGAGTAATTTAAAATTAAAGACATAAAGAGTATGGGAGAATATCAGTGGAAAGCATAACAAAATCAGTATAACCACCAAGAGATGCACTCTTGTACGAATATATGTTGTTTTTATAAATCAGTGTTATTTCCAACAAAGATAGGGACTGGAATACATGTATATAGACTCAACACAACCATTAATTGACTGTACATGTTCAAGACACCAATGCTAAATTTACTTATATATATAAAGACAGGGGGGGGATGAATCATCTGCTGTATTCAATTTAAGCACGTTTGACACAAACAAGTTTTACTGTGCTCCGGCCGGCCTTTATGTCTTCTCACACATTCAAACCAACTGCTATTTTGTTGACCACATTCCAAATTTTGAATTTAAAAATTTACCAATCATAGACTGCAAAAAAATCTATTTCTGTGATCAGATATCCCATTACCCATCCTAACTGCTAAAATTCCACTGTATTTTACAGCAAGGATTCTGTGGCCACTGAAAGTCTGCAGCAGTGTAATCTGTTACATAGATTATAAAGCAGGGATTCATCAGCAGCTGAAAACCTGTATCATATATCTAATTAAATACTTGAATGAAAATATTATTAACGCCTGGCCTGCATCCGATCTGGATGCCTTATAGGAATCACTGTGTCTATCTGTCTGTCCATCCACACATTAGTTTCCAGAATTCAAATTACCAATCTTTCTGAAATTTGACACAGTAAAGCAGTTTGATATGTGCATATGTGATAGGGGTTTAAATACTTTCTTAGGTCAAGGTCAAGGTTACTAAAAAAAGACAAAATGGGTTATGGTTGTTATCTCGAAATCAAAGACTAATCTTTTTGAAATTTGACATGGCAATACTCTTTGATATATAGAATGTTCAATATGGGTTCAAAATGTTTCTTAGTTCAAGGTCAGGGTAACTGTCCCTTATCAGACCTCTGTGAGACATATATACATAGATACACCACTGCTATCGTCTATCAGACCTTGGTGAGACATAAATACAAAGATACACCACAGCTATCCTCTATCAGAGCTTGGTGAGACATACATACATAGATACGCCACAGCTATCCTCTATCAGACCTCTGTGAGACATACATACATAGATACAGCACAGCTATCCTCTGTCAGACTTCTGTGAGACATACATACATAGATACACCACAGCTATCCTCTATCAGACCTCTGTGAGACATACATACATAGATACACCACTGCTATCTTCTGTCAGACCTCTGTGAGACATACATACATCGATACACAACTGCTATCTTCTGTCAGACCACTGTGAGACATACATACATCGATACACCACAGCTATCCTCTGTCAGACCTCTGTGAGACATACATACATAGATACACCACTGCTATCTTCTGTCAGACCTCTGTGAGACATACATACATCGATACACCACTGCTATCCCCTATCAGACCTCTGTGAGACATACATACATAGATACACCACAGCTATCCCCTATCAGACCTCTGTGAGACAGACATACAAAGATACACCACTGCTATCCTCTATCAGACCTCAATGAGATATACATACATAGATACACCACAGCTACCCTGTGTCAGACCTCTGTGAGACATACATACATAGATACACCACAGCTAACCTCTGTCAGACCTCAATGAGATATACATACATAGATACGCCACAGATACCCTGTGTCAGACCTCTGTGAGACATACATACATAGATACGCCACAGCTATCCTCTGTCAGACCTCTGTGAGATATACATACATAGATACACCACAGCTATCCTCTATCAGACCTCAATGAGATATACATACATAGATACGCCACAGATACCCTGTGTCAGACCTCTGGGAGACATACATACATAGATACGCCACAGCTACCCTGTGTCAGACCTCTGTGGGACATACATACATAGATACACCACAGCTATCCTCTATCAGACCTCAATGAGATATACATACATAGATACACCACAGATACCCTGTGTCAGACCTCTGTGAGACATACATACATAGATACGCCACAGCTATCCTCTATCAGACCTTTGTGAGATATACATACATAGATACGCCACAGCTATCCTCTATCAGACCTCTGTGAGACATATGCATACATACATAGATACACCACAGCTATCCTCTATCAGACCTCTGTGAGACATACATACATAGATATGCCACAGCTATCCGCTATCAGACCTCTGTGAGACATACATACATAGATACACCACAGCTATCTTCTCAATGGCAGGATTCAGTGTTTGAAAGATAGCCTGTGATTGTGCTGAATCCCAGTAAGCCCTGATGGCCCTGTGATTGTTCCCGAGTGTCTGGTAACAGATCCCCAGGAGAGTGTGGACTATCCAGAATTCGTGTCCTCCTTGTTCATCATCACTCTGGACCTCTACGAGGAACCTTAATGCTTCATCACGCCCTGTAGTATCTCTAAGTTCATGACAGCACAGGAAGGACAGGAACAATGCATAGGGTAGTGGTGGGATACTAAATGCATGTCCTTTTAACATTTCCTGACAGAGATGAGGAAGATACAAGTCTTCCTTCATAAATATCAACACGTATGTGTACATTTTCTTCAGCTTGTCTGTCAAATTAAATCGATGATATTCATGGCAGTACATTGCCTTTAGTTCTGGATGTAAATGTTTGTGAGAGCAGTAATATGATGCTAGTTTCATCACTTGTTTGCACATTTCCAGAGGTTTAAAGTAATTTCCAGTCAAAAAATGAGAAGTTGCCAAATGTAGCAGTTCAGTTCCCATGGAGGCTCCGGGAATCATCAAGCGTTTACATTTCCTTAGACTTCTGTACCTGGTCTTGTTGTCTGTAGCAACCATGTGCTCCGGATAAACCTGCTCTGCTGCAAGATGTTTTAGGTATTTCATAGCAAAAGTGAATCTGAAAAGTTCATCTGATTCTGACTGTGGTGTCAATAATGAATTAATTGCCTTCCTGACCGACCTTAGAAAACACCTGGAAGAGATGGAAACTTCAATTTTGGGAAATTCAATTTTTTGTATACCTTGAATGATTAGTTCATCTTGATTGATCTCAATTTCCTGTGTAGTCATGGGACTCACAAGTTCCGCTTGTACTGAAGGATTATCCAGTTGTTCCCATATTGAAGGTTTGAAGAAGTTTCCTACTGAAAGACACATCCACTTCATCTGATGGTAGTTTCTCAAAACATCTAACAGAATTTGCTGATGTTGTCCATGGACTTTCCTTTTGAATAAGTTGTTGGCTGGGATGAAGTAACTGGGACAGAAACCTGCCCTGACGAAAGCAATAAGTATTTTGAAGCAAAACCAAAAACAATAAAATAGGTTTTTCTCCTGCCAGAATAGTTGGTTGGAATTCTCAATGGCATGAAAAATTATTGTCTTTAAGAAATAGGAGCACAAGATGTCGTCATCCCCAATGGTTTCTTTTAATATTCCTTTTATTTGTTTCAATAAATATTTCAGCAAAGCATAAACTTTGAATTGGATGTGACTAAAGGAGTGAACTAAAGATCTCTCTGCTGTTGCAAATGAATTTCTCCATTGGAGAAAAGTGTTCTCAGAACACTTGTCTCCAACTGGGACAAGATGACATCCATGGTGTACAATATTGTCTATCAAGGTTTGACGTGGCCATCCATACAGACGTGTACGTGTAATCCATTCATTAGCTTCCTTTGGCCAACCATGACATGGAAAACACACAACAGTGTCTAGTGGTCCATCTAACACTGTGTGACATGTACTGGCTGGTCCATTCGATTCCACTTTCTTCCCTGTTATTTTACCGTCTTTACTGACAAATTGCTCTCTGAAGATATCACTGGAAACAAATATTGAATCCTCAATTCTAACTAGTGCATCAATTAACAAAGAGTGATCTCTCTTTTGGAACTGATGAAGCTGTAGGAAGACATAGCCAGGGCGGCAATCTGCTGCTCTTGCGTACAGAATTGTTTTGTGTGCCATATTTGGAGGAATACACTGATCAGGGTACATAACTATAATATTGTTCAAAATGTGCATTATATCTACATCGGAACCCAACATATTAAGTCCCTCTCCAGTACTTCCAGCTATAAATAGTGACATATTACTATGAAAATACTCCATTGAAACATATGACTTTCTTCTGATATCTACCTCTTCTTGTGTCACTGAGAAAGCCCTTTCGATGAGTTTTGACAGAAGCACTGACATCCGCTCGTTCTCTGTGGAATCCATCATCAGATGTTTATCTTCAGGACTTAATCTGTAATGAAGAAACTGAAGCTTATAAAGAGGAAGACTGTTGTTATCTCTGCCTTTTCATCAACTAAACATTCAGAATGAATTGTTAAATACATCTGTATATACATGAGTGTGTTTGTCAGACACTGAAATACATTGAGAATTAATCATAAAAGCTGACTGATAGCATACAAAAATTCAAGCATCATTTATCATTCATCAGAACACCATGGGTATGTGACATTGTATTTTTACTGATTACTCAGATTCACCAGTGTGTTGACATTTTTTCATCCAGTTTTATATAAATTGATAGGAAATGACAGAAATCAGTGATGGTTGCCTGTCTAGAACTTAATATAGTAATAGCGTAGCATGACAGTAAATCTAATGATTTGCCCTTGAATTATGTATAATTATATATTTTTCTTGAGTATAGCAGAAAACCAATAATTTTCATACGTGCCTAAAAGGAGTATATTTGTATTGTGGTACGTATCGTATTGTAAGCATCGAACCGCTATATGTATTGTATCGTGAGGTATTTGTATCGTTGCAGCCCTACTTGCCATATTAGGGAATCCAATTGAATTTTCTATCTATACCATTTTTAGGTCACCAGAGCCAAATGCTCAGTGTATACATCAATGGTATAGCAGAGCAATCACGTATTCTATCGTCACTTCAACTGCGTATGTAAAACTGCAGTGAATATAAAGCACCATTCTGATTGGTCAATATTAAAAGCGCTACCTTCACATGGGAAGATATAACATTAGCAATTTTATATCATATAAATAATTTCCAATATTTCTCTGGTAAAATTTGATAAATACATGAAAAGCATTTGCACTTGTGTATTTGCAAACCATATTGTGCTTTTGAAAGACACATTGCACTACTTAATGATAGAGGGTGACCCTGTATTTGGTGTACTTTTTTTTTGGGGGGGGGGGGGGGGGGGGGGGGTGTGCTAAAGATGTATAAAAGAATCTTAGCAGCTGATATTATAATTTCAGCATCACAGTTATATAAAACCACATTACAAATTATTCAGGATGGGTATGCCATGCTAGTGATGGGGAGTATGATGAAATTTTACGACCAATCATTGGTTACCATTACTTAACGGATCATCAATTAATAATTGTTTTAAAGAGATACAATGTGAAATCCTCCATGTATGCTGTTGTTGCGAGTCACTAATGCAAATAACTTTTTTTTATACAATATTAAGAAATACCTTCCTCCAAACACTGTATCTGAAATTTATAGACCTAAGCAGGCTTGAACGTTAAAGCAAGTCAGTGATAATGTTAATATACCGCCAGGAAATATATATCAGGAAAATTCTGCTGCTGAATTTGTAGTATCTAGCTAGCAAAGACAAAAGTTGGAAATCATGAAACACTATATGGAAAAATCCATAATATCTATAATCGATCATGAATTTTGTAGTCGATTAATCAGTTTATTTGCCTAACTGACCAATAATTGACGAAGTTGATTAATCAGTTTATTGGCCTAACTGACCAATAGTCAACAAGTTGATTAATCAGTTTATTGGCCTAGCTGACCCCTGGTCAACAAAGTCAACAATCTTATCATAAATGACCGACGACTCAAAATAAAACTATTTGAAGGGAGGTAATCCGATATGGCGGACCAGAAACTCGAGAACGATAACCCAAGAATGACATGTTCCTGTGTATAATGCGCACCCCCTTTTTGACATGACAATATTTACCCAAAAAAGTGTGCACTTTACGCGCAAATTTACAATAATCAGAATTTAATTATGTCACATTGGAGGAAATTATTGCTTACCTGCATATTGCATTAAACTTTGTAGACTCCTTGGCTTAAGATTGCAATAAATGACGACTGTACCGTTATAAGTCTGTTGTTGCAGGGTGACTCTGGGCTCTGGCTTTCAAGATAGGAACATGTCTTGACTCTGCTCTGTACGTCTTGTCACTGGGGCTTTTAGAATCATCAGGTCCATTTTAAGCGCTGCAAATACTTCCTGTTTCGACGGCGACGACAGTCGGTCAAGTACCACTTGTATTGTGGATAGGTGTGTTATGATACGTCAATTAACAACACAATATTTCATGTGAAAAAGGCAAACTCTGACGCGTATGTAAAACCATTTGTATCAAAAAGTAACTCAAAAGTGGTCGCATAACAGGGTTGGTGTCTTAACACATTCTCCCCTGAAATTTCATAATGAACTATTCCAACCTTTAAATTGGAAGAGTTCAAATGTGTGTTCAGGGGTGAATGAGTTAATAGAGTATTGATGCATGGTAAACTGCTTGGTGGGAATGAGAAAATGGTGGTTGTTAAGAACCCCAAAGGGTGTGGGTGGGGGGATGTGGGGGCGATAGGGGGAAGACAATGGTAAATATTTAATATCTTCCTTATGTTCTGTTAGAATGAAGGGAATTTTCATATTTAAACCAAAATTTGTCTTTTATATCTTAGGGAAAGTGAAATGAAATTTGTATAAACAGAGGATTTTAACCAAGTTTGGTTTTGATGAATCATTGTGCAACAAGGATACAATTTCATATAACTAGGGTATGTGTATGGATATAAACAGAACACACAGACATGACTGCACTTCAAAGTCAAGTGTTTCATGTAAAAAATATCCTGGTAAACTTTAGTTTGTGCCAGTATCAGAGTTCTCCTTTAGGAAACAAAGACTTGTAAGTACACTTATTGTATGACGATGATGAAATATATAAGGAAGTATAACTTGTTCGACTGACTCGGGGAATGGCATCTCCCAGTACACGTTGGTCTAACATTGAACTTTGTTCCATGTGAACCTGGGGCCTTGAGAATTAGTCACCGTAATGCTCTTGAAAAATGACAGTGTCACAAACGACAGGGATATTTTTTTAGTGGTTAGATGTCGAAAATGGACTGCTGCGCTTTATTCAGACCAGTGTCCGAATTTTTCACAATAAAACCTGGTTCACATAAGATGCCTACTAATTCTAAAAATAGCATATTAAACTAAACAGTATTTCTACATTGAAAATTACATGTTGAATTCCTGGAATAGTTGAAACTTCCACTAAATTGGCGAAATGGCAATCACACTCATACATCCATTAACATTAGGCTGAAGGTTTTCTGACTATTTGGTAAACCCAGGTAGAGGATATTGCAAAAGTAAAGTCATGGCAATGAAGTTCTAAGCAAATGGTGTGGCTCCAATAAGGAGCATAGGACTGGGGACAAAATAAGGGGAATATGTTGTGTATAAATAAAGGATGTGTTGACCTCCTTTGGGACCGAAAAGTGGGGCTCAATAGGAAAAATAAGGGTAATTTAAAAGACTAATCCTTCAGTACAGTTTTTTTTTATATGAACATGATTTAGTATGAAGCATCCCAAGACCAAGATAGTGATGGGAAATCGCTTTAAAATCGCTTTAAAATCAAAATCAATAATTGGTTTGTCATCGGAAGTAGTAAACAAATTGATGATCGATTGCAAGATCGGTACTGCTATATAAGTATATGGGACTGAATACCCCAAAAAAGTGAAATAACGGTTGCATCAATAGACAGAGTTGTCAACTATACATTATGTTTCGTTGTTTTATAATGAATGGATTTCAAGCAACTTTTATGCAGTTTTGTCAATCATTTAAATGATACAAATTTAATTTTTAACTCACCTGACCTTCACCAATATTCAAGGTCAAATATGTTAAAAACTTTAAACAACTTCTTCTGAATAACCAAGATGCCTAGGGTGATGTTATGTGGCCAGTAGCATGCTAGGATGAAGGGCTACCAAGTTTGTTCAAATGAACTACCTTCACCCATTTGCAAGGTCACAGGGGTCAAATAAGTCAAATCTTTAAACAACTTCTGAATAATCTAAAGGTCTAGGGTAATGATACTTCAACTTGATGTCCTTGTTTGACTTTCAAGGTCACATATGTCACATGTTTAAATCTTTTAATAGATTTATTTGAATCAAACACTGGTATTTTGCATGTAGCTGTATTTTAGTCCTCTATTAAGATTACAAGTGTAAGATTAATACCAGGTGAGCGATTCAGGCCCATTGGGCCTCTTGTTGCTAATTTGGGGGGCTACATTAATTGTAGTTTAAAATCCAAGGTGGGCATTAGTAATCTAGCCTCGGGCTGCAACTTTCAATTTCTTCTCAACTTCCATCAAGCCAATTTCGACAATTTTTTTATGAAAAGATACTATCATGGCCCATAGTAAGTGGTGTTAATTTTTGGATCAATTGAAACTTGATGAATGTTTCGAAGTTTGGTAAAGTGAATGACCTTGGCCCCTTTTCAATGTCGGAGGGGTGAAATGGGAATGGGAATGAAGTTTTAAACAAAAAGTATGGCTCCCATACGGAGTAAAGGACAAATGGGAAATATGTGTATGGGTGGGCAGACAATAAGGCATCCCTGGTCAAATGAATGACCTTGGTCCTTTTTCAGGGTCATAGGGGTCAAATGTGTTTAACTTTTTAATGAATCCTTCTGAATAACAAAGAGGCATAGAGTGATGATATTTGGCAAGTAGCATAATGGGATGAAGGGATATCAAGTTTGTTCCAATGAATGACCTTGATATACTTTCAAGGTCACATACACTTTCAAGGTCACAAGGGTCAATGGTGTTTAAACCTTTCAACAACTTCTTCAGGATACCTGAATCAAGAGATCTAGGGTCAAACATGATATTTTGTCTGTAGTTTAACAGTGTCATGTGCTTAAAGTGTGGGATATGTCAATTATGGAGTAATGATACTTATCTTAAAAGGTCAGAGGTATGAAATGAAGGACAGGTGTGTGATACAGGCCCTTTCAGACTCTTGTTGTATAACCTGATTTGCACACCAGTGGTCATGTATTTAGAGTTTACCCTAGCTAGATACCAATTGTAAGAGAGAAAAAATCACTTGTTGTAATTTAATTATTATAACAATAAAATAGAAATATTCTGATGTAAAAATAAGAATTTATGAGAGTGAAACTCAATCTTGAATGATGAATTTTTGTTGTTTCTTTCAGGAAGAATATGAGGAAGGGCTACATGGAACTGTTCAATATGAACCGAGACCTCATCAATGGTTACAAGATCCGGTGTGGAAACCACCAGGAGTTGTTAGCTTCTCTCAAACAGGTCAACCAGGTCATACAGAAGGCTGGGCGACTCAGAGGTACGTACTTATCTGTCATACAGAAGGCTGGATGACTCGGGGGTTCATACTGATATGTCATACAGAAGGCTGGGCGGCTCAGAGGTACGTATTGATCTGTCATACAGAAGGCTGGGCAACTCAGAGGTATGTACTTATCTGTCATACAGAAGGCTGGGCGTCTCAGAGGTATGTACTTATCTGTCATACAGAAGGCTGGGCGTCTCAGAAGAACGTACTTATCTGTCATACAGAAGGCTGGGAAACTCAGAGGTATGTACTTATCTGTCATACAGAAGGCTCGGCGTCTCAGAAGTACGTACTTATCCGTCATACAAAAGGCTGGATGACTTGGGGGTACGTACTTATCCGTCATACAGAAGGCAGGGCAACTCAGATGTATGTACTTATCTGTCATACAGAAGGCTGGACAATTCAGAGGTATGTACTGATCTGTCATACAGAAGGGTGGGCAACTCAGAGGTTCATACTGATCTGTCATACAGAAGGCTGG